CAGGCCAGAGCTCCCTGTCAGCCGTGGCCACCCCCAGTTCCTTTAAGGTCAAGCCAGTCCCTTCAAGGATGCCAGCCACCCATCCATCTTGCCCTTGGTCGGCCCCTCTTCCTTTTTTCTTCCCTTTTCCCAGCATCATTCTCTTCTCCAAGCTTTCCTGTCTTCTCATGAAGACCTTCATCGTTGCCTCTAATATTCTTCCCTCCAGTGAGAAGTCAGGCGTTATTTCCTGGAGGATGGACCTTCCTTTGTCACCCTTCTTTTCCAGTGACATTACAGAGGGCCACTCTACCTAGCAACAGTCAACCTTTCACCTGGCAACAGCCAACACAGTAACATCACAAAGGATACTGGACTGTCACCTAGCAGCAGTCTTTGTGGTACAGATAAATGGGCAAAGAGATGTACTTTGACTTAGGGAGAAGGGGGATTTGTTGTTCTCTTTTAATAATACACCACAATGGGTTGAAAACAATGAAAGTTAGGGATACAGTAACCCCAGACCTCTCCCTGGATTCACAGACTGGAAGTATAAAAAAAACTGGCAAAAGGTAAAGGTACAAAAGTATTGACTCACTGCTTGTGCATATCAATACACAGGTTGCCTCCGTAAGGAAAGGTGAAAGGAAGTGAAATTCTTCAACCCCTAAAATGGAAGCAGTTTTTCGGCAGAGCTCTGTCTTTCAAAAGAGCGAAAACCAGTTGAAAAGACAGCCTTTCAACATGCCAACCCCTCCATTTAAGTTTTTGACAACTAAATGACCTGCCAAAATTGAAAATACGAAGATTTATCTCTTTCAGAAAGCCTACCCAGTCAATTATATTATTTAATATGTATATTTTGCACCTTTGTACTAAAGGTAAAGATAAAGGTTGTCCCCTGACATTAAGTCCAGTCGTGTCCAACTCTGGAGGTTGGTACTAATCTCCATTTCTAAGCCAAAGAGCCAGTGTTGTCCTTAGACATCTCCAAGGTCATGTGGCTGGCATGATTACATGGAGCACCGTTATCTTCCCACCGGAGTGGTACCTATTAATCTACTCATATTTGCATGTTTTCGAACTGCTAGGTTGGCAGAACCTGAGGCTGACAGTGGGAGCTCACACCATTCCCCGGATTTGAACCTGTGACCTTTTGTTCAACAAGCTCAGCAGCTCAGCGGTTTAACCCACTGCGCCACCGGCTAGGGAAACTACCATCATTAGCATCTATTACCTCAATCCCATCCACATTCTTTCCTTCACACATCCCATGAGAGGCAGAACCAGCAACAGCCACAAAACCTCAAAGTGACAATTTATTACATTTCCTTCTAAACCCGGAGACCAATTGAAAAAAATGACAGACAGCACATCCAAGCCAACCAGCCTGAAGATTCAAGCCACCCTCGATTTGGACCTATCAACACTCAGGGCAGCAGAAGCCTTTCGTTTCGAACTGCTGTCAAAGTCCTATAAATATATCTGCATTGAGGTATGTCAGTTCTTTGGAGAGTTGTCTCTACTAGTATCTCCTCTGGCCATTGAGAAAAAAGACTCAGATTTTGCCTTCAACCTGTCTGTGTTTCACATGGCCTTCTGGAAAGCTTCACCCACCAGGCTCCGAACCTGCGATTCTTGCAGAAGCTGAAATCACGTAACATAGGCGAACACAAGAAAAAAGGGGCATGAACTGCAGAAGAGATGCCCCTTTACAACTAAATCAACTGCGTGTGGGTGCTTGCTATCACAACATGGCCCTGAAACCCTGCCCATCCCACGCATGCTCACTTGGAGGGTGCGGGTGTCATAGAGGCGGAGGTGGCGGTCCTTGCCGGCGGTGGCGAAGGCGCTCCCGTCACGACAGACGTCCAGCGCGTGGGTCTCGTTCCCCTCCTCGGCCAGCGAAGCCACTGGGGAGCGGTCTGGTGGGAGAAAGGCGGCGACGGAGCCCTCGGCCCCTGCGGCCAGCAGCAGCCCTGGTCGGGCCCCCAGGAAGCAGACGGCTGTCACGGGACCCGCAAGAGGCCCGGTCTTCAAGGAGGAGGAGGATTCCGGGAGGCCCGTCTCGGTGTCCACCAGCTGAGAAGGAGGAAGAAGGCAAATGTTGTTGGAGAATGTAAAAATCAGTTGGTGAGTGTGTTAACTGAAAAATGCAAAGGATGAAGCTGATTGGTTGGACCACGTCTGAGAGGGTAGCTGAGCCTGGGAGCTTTGCCAACAGTTACATGTTTTCTATAGCAAGACAGTGTGTGGATTGGTAAAGATATGAACTACACTTAGAATCACAGAATCAAAGAGTTGGAAGAGACCTCATGGGCCATCCAGTCCAACCCCCTGCCAAGAAGCAGGAATATTGCATTCACCTCATCTTTGACAGATGGCCATCCAGCCTCTGTTTCAAAGAAGGAGCCTACACCACACTCCAGGGCAGAGAGTTCCACTGCTGAATGGCTCTCACAGTCAGGAAGTTCTCCCTCATGTTCAGGTGGAATCTCCTCTCTTGTAGTTTGAAGCCATTGTTTCACGTCCTAGTCTCCAGGGAAGCAGAAAACAAGCTTGCTCCCTCCTCCCTGTGGCTTCCTCTCACATATTTATACATGTGGCTATCATATCTCCTCTCAGCCTTCTTGTCTTCAGGCTAAACCTGCCCAGCTCCTTAAGCCGCTCCTCATAGGGCTTGTTCTCCAGACCCTTGATCATTTTAGTCGCCCTCCTCTGGACACATTCCAGCTTGTCAATATCTCTCTTGAATTGTGGTGCCCAGAATTGGACACAATATTCCAGGTGTGGTCTAAACAAAGCGGAATAGAGGGGTACCACAAATGTTATCGTCAAAAAAGGAAGGAGGAAGAGAAGAAGGTGTAGACAATCCCCACCCAGGGTTGTTGTAGATTTTTCAGGCTATATGGCCATCTTCTAGAAGCATTCTCTCCTGACGTTTTGCATGTATCTATGGCAGGCATCCTCAGAGGTTGTGAGGTCACCTGCTATAGATGCAAGTGAAACATCAGGAGAGAATGCTTCTAGAACATGGCCATATAGCCTGAAAAACCTACAAGAACCCAGTGATTCTGGCCATGAAAGCCTTCAACAATACAATCCTCACTCAGTCAGTCTAACATGATTCTGCAGATCATTGAAGAGATTATCCATAATGAGATGGGCCAACTCTGGCCCTCCAGGTGTTTTGGGCTTTCAACCGGATATTGGGTATTGTGGGAGTCGAAATCCAAAACACCTGGAGGACTAAACTTGTCCCATGCCTGATCTATAAGCACTTAGAAAGTGAAGGGACATTATCATTATTAGTATCCCTTATATAGGGGAGACACCATTGTGTCCTTGGTACAGAGGTGCAGGAATGGCAATGGACCACTAGGGGGGACTGGCAAACCATACCTCCGAAGGGAACATGACAGATTCCAGTCCTCTGACACCTATGTTTCACACCTTCCTGGCAAGGGGATGCAAGGGGCATCATGACCTGGGACTGATAGTAGGTTGTAGGCTACCTCACCTTAGGATGAGGTCACCTCTAGCCAATCACTCTGCCAATGATGTAATCCAACTCACTGTTACTATGCAAGCTTTGCAAAGAGCACAAGAAAAGATATATAAGCAGCTTGGCTGATCAATAAACTTTGAGATCACTTCTTCACCCCCCTTCTGACTGACTGGTGGTTTTCTTCATGCGTCTCCAACAAGAAAGAAACCAGTTCACTTGTCGGGAAAAAGAGGTAGACTATGACGATCTGGCAGAAATAAAGAATATGATCTAAAACATCTTATAGAGGATAGGAATCCATTGATGACTTATAGAGCAGCTAAGTTTTGTGTGGCAGCTATAAAAATAAGGAAGCACTGGGTTGTTGTAGGTTTTTCTGAGCTATATGGCCATGTTCTAGAGGCATTTTCTCCTGACATTTCGCCT